GTCAATCTCAAAGGTTTTAAATGCCCAGACTCATCTGACCTTGCCCCAACAATCAGCACCATGGATTCTTCTAAGCAGTTGTCTAGAAAACTGAAACTGAAAATAGTTGACGCTCACAAAGCTGAAGAAGGCTATAAGAAGATAGCAAAGCGTTTTCAGATGTCAATATCCTCTGTTCGGAATGTAATTAAGAAATGGCAGTCATCAGGAACAGTGGAAGTTAAAGCAAGATCTGGAAGACCAAGAAAAATATCAGACAGAACAGCTCGCAGGATTGTGAGAAAAACAATTCAAAACCCACGTTTGACTGCACGATCCCTCCAGAAAGATCTGGCAGACACTGGAGTTGTGGTACATTATTCCACTATAAAGAGATACTTGTACAAATATGGTCTTCATGGAAGAGTCATCAGAAGAAAACCTCTTCTACGTCCTCACCACAAAAATCATTGTTTGAACTTTGCAAATGAACATATAGACAAGCCTGATGCATTCTGGAAACAAGTTCTGTGGACCGATGAGGTTAAAATTTAACTGTTTGGCCGGAATGAGCAAAGGTACGTTTGGAGAAGAAGGGGCACAGAATTTAATGAAAAGAACCTCTGTCCAACTGTTAAGCATGGAGTTGGATCAATCATACTTTGGGGTTGTGTTGCAGCCAATGGCACAGGGAACATCTCACGAGTAGAAGGAAAAATGGATTCAATAAAATTTCAGTAAATTTTGGATGGTAACTTGATACCATCTGTGAAAAAGCTGAAGTTAAAGAGAGGATGGCTTCTACAAATGGATAATGATCCTAAACACACCTCAAAATCCACGCGGGATTACATCAAGAGGCGTAAACTGAAGGTTTTGCCGTGGCCTTCACAATCTCCTGACCTCAACATAATTGAAAATCTATGGATAGACCTTAAAAGAGCCGTGCGTGACAGACAGCCCAGAAATCTCAAAGAACTGGAAGACTTTTGTAAGGAAGAATGGGCAAAGATACCTCAAACAAGAATTGAAAGACTCTTGGCTGGCTACAAAAAGCGTTTACAAGCTGTGATGCTTGCCAAAGGGGGCAGTACAAGATATTAACTCTGCAGGGTGCCCAAACTTTTGCAGACGCCATTTTTTTGTTTTCTGTTATTTTGAAAGTGTAAATGATGGAAATAAAATCTAACTTTTGTTGACATATTATAAGAATGTCTAATCTGTAATTTGATGCCTTTTGGAGATTTTTCCATCTTTCCTTGGCTTCTTTATGCACATTAATACAAATTTTTAGCTGGGGTGCCCAAACTTTCGATCCCCACTGTATATCCGCTCTCCCTGGACCCCGCCTTCACTATATATCCGCTCTCCCCGGACCCCGCCTTCACTATATATCCGCTCTCCCCGGACCCCGCCTTCACTATATATCCGCTCTCCCCGGACCCCGCCTTCACTATATATCCGCTCTCCCCGGACCCCGCCTTCACCATATATCCGCTCTCCCCGGACCCCGGATTTACACAATGCAGAGGATTAACCCCTTAGGTTCCACAGTGAGTATAACAAGCATGCTTTACTGCATCTACAGACTGATTTGTACTGTTGGGGGTTTAGTAACAGTTTAATATAAGGAGGAAATAGATGTTATTTCTACCTGAGTGTATGTGTACATTATTACATGTCAATTACAGCGATTGCTATGCACGGTTGCATGACCTGCTGTATAAGTGATACATTTACTGTATCTCTTAATAAAATATTTGAACGAGAAAAAAATCAATTCATCAACTTTGAGAAATAATAGAAGTTGTACAACAAGAAGGGAAAGGACTGCTTAGTTTTCTGTGATTGTGAGCAGCCAAATGTAAATTATTTAGTAATTTTTTATGTGTAGAATAAATTTAAAATCTATTTAATAAAATTTATAATTTCTATATGTAAAATTGTTTTTAAAATAAAAAATCTCTACACTAACCCAAAATTCATCAAACGTGTAAAGGCAAACATTCAAAGGTACCATGAAAAATTACTTCCAGGTAAATGTTACAGTAACTCAACGAGTGTGCTTTTAGGAATATGTTGTAGTTTCTCCTACATACATTGTGGCGGAGGTCCAGCAATGATATCAGAAATAATGGATGTTGTCTGCCTCCTGTTAGTGGCGAAATACGACCACAGTGACAGTGCTTGCTTTGCCTGCATTCTCCTGAGTCACGGTGATGAGGATCAGATCTACGGCACAGATGGGCCCATAGCTATAAAAACTCTGACAACACTTTTCCGAGGAGATAAATGTAAAAGTCTGCTTGGGAAACCAAAACTCTTCTTTATCCAGGTAAGATGCACGCTGAGCTGATCTACAGTGTGTTTCTGTATATATGTGTGTGTGTGTGTGTGTGTGTGTGTGTAATATATATATATATATATATATATATATATATATATATATATATATATATATATATATGTACTGATATCTAAAGTGATAAAAAAAGTATGCAGCCCTTCAACATACATCACACACTGCAACACAGACAGGAAAAGGACTCTGTCTTGTGGCAGAGAAGATGTTCACATATTGTTCTATGCTCTGCTCCTGTAAATCAGTGTTGGCCTCCCTTCCATCCACTAGGAGTGTACTAGGGTCGGATCTGGCCTGTCTGATGTGGGGGTGCAATAAAATAATGTCGGAGGGGGGGGGGGGCATAGGATGCAAGGTCAGCAGGGTAATGTACAGGGATCAGCAGTGCAGAGGATAGGTTCAGAAGTTTGTAGGGCAGGATGCAGAGGCTATTCATTTTTACGGCAGTGTAAGGAGGACATTAGTTTGTAGGGAAGTGAACATGGGGCATAAGGACAGTGTGCAGGTTGTCAGCAGGGCAGTGGAAAGGTCATCAGCAAGGCAGTGTACAGGGGGCAGTGTGCAGTGGGTCGGCGAGGCAGTGTGCAGTGGGTCGGCAGGGCAGTGAACAGGGAGTCAGTAGGGCATAGAATGAGAGGTCAGCAGGGGAGTGTACAAGAGTCTATAGCAGGGGTCTCCAAACTATGGCCCTCCAGGTGTTGAAGTACTACAAGTCCCATCATGCCTCTGCCTCTGGGAGTCTTGCCTGTGGCTGTCAGAACCTTTCAAGGCCTCATGGGACTTGCAGTTCCTCAACAGCTGGAGGGCCATAGTTTGGAGACCCCTGTTCTATAAAGCAGTGTACAGTGGGTCAGCAGGGTAGAGGATGAGAGGTCAATAGGGGATTGTACAAGAGTCAATAGGGCAGAGTACAGGGGGTCAGCAGGGCAGAGGAAAAGGGTCTGCAGGGCAGTCTACAGGGATCAGCGGGGCAGAGGATAGGGGCAAGTACAGCAGAGGACAAGGGTATGCAGGGCAAAGTACAGACAACAGCAGAGCAGTGTGCAGGGAACTGTGGGGCAGAGAACCGGGATCAGCAGGGCAGGAGAAATGGGGTCAGCATGGCAGTATACAGGGACCAGCGGAGAGGTGTACAGGGAACAGCAAGGCAGGAGAAAGGGGATCAGAAGGGCAGTGTACAGGGGTCAGCAGGGCAGTATACAGAGAGAAGAGGACAGGGCGACTGCTTGCAATGCTCCTCTTCCCATCCCCACACTGCACACAGCCTTGATCTGCACAGTGTGTAGCTGGCTACTGCAGCTGCACTGCCATTCCAATCTGGGCATTTCAGAGGTCAGAAATGCAATAGCAGACAGCTAAACAATGTGCAGATTTAGTTTTTTTTTCTGTAAGAGAATCTGATCTCAGCTATGTGTGGGGAGGAGGAGATCTTTTATGTGCCCTATGTGCAGACAGTTCCAGAACAAACCTTCCCTGGTGACCAGAGCCCCCCTTACATCTCTATGGAGGGGGTGATGTTGCAATGTGTACACTGTGACCTGTTTAGTGTGATCCCTGTCCCCATCCCCCTCCTCTGTGTGCAGGAGAGGTATCACTGGGTCATACTGACAGCACACTACCTGCGCCCTACTGTCCCTGGCTCAGAATCCTCCGCTCACTTCTCTCCGTACCCTACCCTCACTCAGTCACCATCAGTATCCCAGTCCAGACTCCTCTCTGTTCTCAGTTGGGCAGTAGGTCCCCTCTGAGGCTTTGACTGTCTCTGGGTCCCAACTCCATTCTCAGCAGATGGAACAGAACCTGACATATGAAGACAGCACTACAAGGCAGAGCAGCTGGAAGAGGAAATTACAGTACATCCTCCTCCTGTGAATGCTGGGGCCTCCATACACCTTATTGGTTGCTAGGATGCAAGGCGGACCTAGCAACCAATAGTTTTGTCAGGTGGGCAGTGGGTGGGACTTGAGGAAGAGTAAACGCCAACCCGTCATACAGACTACAGGGGAAAGCCAGCCTTTGCATTTTTTGCGAACTTTTTATGATCCATTTACGGACTTTAACAGACGACCATCCCAAAATGGCATCGGCTGTGATGTCACACACCGGCACATTCTGCATACGCGAACGATGCCGTACATGTCACCGCACATGCATGCAAAATGATCAGACATGTCTAATGGTCATGTCATCCAAATACGGCACTTGCCATCATATCACCTTCCAGTACATCGTGCGTGCACAAACGATGCCGCAAACAGGACATCAACGTGCACAGCAGGCGACAGGCAGTTAGAAGTGGGAGAATGCAAAGAATCGGGGATTGATTATACAGCTCTGAAAGTGAAAAAAAAAATACAAAAAAAAATGGGTTCTCACTACCAAATCTCATAAAAGCCAATCCCTTGTCATCAAAGGGAGAATGAAGGTGGCCGTCTCCAGGTCGAAAAAGGAGTCTATATCACCCCCTATAGCAGTGATGGCGAACCTATGGCACATGTGCCAGAGCTGGCACGCAGAGCCATCTCAGTGGGCACACCAGGAGGAAGAGAGGAAGAGGAAGAGAACGCGCTCTCCTGCGCACCTCCGGGGGCGCGCACCGGGCGATCTCCGTGATTGCTGTGTCCTGCGGACACAGCTGATCACGTGACATGGTAAAAGGCCAATCACAGCGGCCTTTTACCACGTGATCAGCGGTGTCCAATGACACGCTGATCACCGGGAAATGCAAATGCCGGTTCTCGGCTGCACTTTCCTCACGCTGTCAGATCGTGAGGAAAGTACTGCCGAAAACCGGCAGTTGTCAGAACAGGGATCGGCACCGATCATCAGGGTCACTGATCATCAGTGCCCTGATGATCGGTGCCCACCTTTGCCACACACAAGTTCCGCCCACCTGTGCCCAGCAATGCGCCCACCTGTGCCCATCAGTGCGCCCACCTGTGCCCATCAGTGCGCCCACCTGTGCCCATCAGTGCGCCCACCTGTGCCCAGCAATGCACCCACCAGTGCCCACCTGTGCCGCCCACCTGTGCCCACCAGTGCGCCCACCTGTGCCCAGCAATGCACCCACCAGTGCCCACCTGTGCCACCCACCAGTGCCCATCAGTGCAGCCCAGCAGTGCTGCCAGTCAGTGCCACCAGTCAGTGCCCAGCAGTGATGTCAGTCAGTGCCACCTATCAGTGCTGTCTATCAGTACCCATTATCAGTGTCGCCTATCAGTGCCACCTATCTGTGACACCTCATTAGTGCTGCCCATCAGTGCCACCCATCAATGATGCCCAGCAGTGCCGCCGGTCAGTGCCGTCTGTCAGTGCCTCCAGTTGGTGCTGTCAGTGCCGCTTATCAGTGCCCATCATTTCCTGCATATCAGTGCATCATCAGAGCCTCCTCATCAATGCTCACCAGTGCCGCCTCATCAGTGCTACCTATCTGTGCCGCCTCATCAATGCCCATCAGTGCTGCCTATCAGTGCAGCCTCACCAACGCACATCAAAGAAGAAATATTACCTGTTTGCAAAATTTTAGAATAGAAGCAAAGGAAACCTTTTATTTTTTTTAATGTTTTGCTCTTTTTTCATTTATAGTGCAAAAAATAAAACACCCAGTGGTGATTAAATACCACCAAAAAAAGCTCTATTTGTGTGAAAAAATGATAAAAATTGCATATGGTTACAGTGTTGCATGACCGCACAATTGTCTTTGTTAAGTGCAACAGCACTGAAAGCTGAAAATTGTCCTGGGCAGGAAGGGGGTAGAAGTGCCCGGTAGGCAAGTGATTAATTCCAGTGTTGGCACTTTGAAATAAAAAAGTTGGTTTTGTGTTGCAGTTTGGGCACTCGGGCTCACAAAGGTTCGCCATCACTGCCCTATAGGATAGAAGTACAAAAACAGACCTATTTAAAAATACATGCCAAATGCAACAACAAATGTAAAATTAGAACAAAATAACAAAGGATACATTTTGAGTATCATAGTCACAATTTTACAAATATTTATACATCAACCTCAGTCAAAAAGTAATCACAATAAATAGTAAACATTACTTGTTTATGTTGGGCAAATGTTATCCCAAACCTGTATACAAGCTGATAGTTTTTGGGAGGACAGTGAAAAATATGAACAGAGGGGAAGTGCTTGAATAAATGTATTTTTAGATTTCAAAGCCTCCCCAGACAAAGCTCTCCAGGAATGGCGCAAAATTGATGGCATTGTGCAATCGCATGATACCTTGCTGCCTACAAGCTGTAATTCCTGTACTGACTCCGCCTCCTGCAACTCCTCCTCTGTAGTCCAGAAAGCGTGCTCTATGAAATGTGTGACACAGCAGTGCCTACTCACAGGGTGTAGTGACTACGTGTCACATTCTAGGCAGTATATACACTATATTGCCAAAAGTATTGGTCTGCCTGCCTTTCCACACACATGACCTTTAATGGCCCCCCAGTCTTGGTCTGTAGGATTCAATATTGAGTTGGCCCCGCCCTTTGCAGCTATAACAGCTTCAACTCTTCTGGGAAGGCCGTCCACAAGGTTTAGGAGGGTTTCTATGGGAAGGTTGGACCATTCTTCCAGAAGCACATTTGCCAGGTCAGGCACTGATGTCGGGGGAGGAGGCCTGGCTCGCAGTCTCCGCTCTAATTCATCCCAAAGGTGTTCTATGGGGTTGAGGTCAGGACTCTGTGCAGGACAGTCAAGTTCCTCCACCCCAAACTGGCTCCTCCATGTCTTTATGGACCTTGCTTTGTGCACTGGTGTGCAAAGTCATGTTGGAACAGGAAGGGGCCATCCCCAAACTCTTCCCACAAAGTTGGGAGCATGAAATTGTCCAAAATGTCTTGGTATGCTGATACCTTAAGATTTCCCTTCACTGGAACTAGGGGGCCAAGCCCAACCCCTGAAAAACAACCCCACACCATAATCCCCCCTCCACCAAACTGTACACTTGGCACAATGCAGTCAGGTAAGTACCGTTCTCCTGGCAACCGCCAAACCCAGACACGTCCATCAGACTGCCAGACAGAGAAGCGTGATTGGTCACTCCAGAGAACACATCTCCACTGCTCTAGAGTCCAGTGGCGGCGTGCTTTGCACCATGGCATCCAACGCTTTGCATCAGACTTAGTGATGTAAAGCTTGGATGCAGCTGCTCGGCCATGGAAACCCATTCCATGAAGCTCTCTACGCACTGCTGTTGTGCTAATCTGAAGGTCACACCAAGTTTGGAGGTCTTTAGCTATTGACTCTGCAGACAGTCAGCAACTTCTGCACATTGTGCGCTTCAGCATGTGTTGACCCAGTTCTGTCATGTGACGTGGCCTACCACTTGGTGGCTGAGTGGCTGTTGTTCCCAGTTGCTTCCACTTTGTTATAATCCCAGTAACAGTTGAGCGTGGAATATTTTTAATAGCCAGGAAATGTCACGGATGGACTTATTGAACAGGTGGCCACCTATCACGGGACCACGCTTGGAGTCACTGAGCTCCTGAGAGCGACCCATTCTTTCACCAATGTTTGTAGAAGCAGTCTGCATGCCTAGGGGCTTGATTGTATACACCTGTGTCCATGGAGGGATTGGAACATCTAAATCCAATGATTTGGAGAGCTGGCCAATACTTTTGGCAATATATGGTATATCGTATGAAAGAGTTAAAACCCCTGTCATGGTGGTGTGTGGGTTTTTTTTGTTGTTTTTTTTTTTTTTGCTATCTGGTTCCCATTGGGGAAATTTTTTTTTGCTTTCTGTCCCAGAAACACAAGTGGATAGGACAGTTGGCACTAAAGCAGATGTCTCAGTCAGATTTCCCCTCTTCCCTCTCCATCCAAAAGCAATTTAGCCTTTAGATATACTTTATTTCTCTATGCCTTTTTTACTTTTGAAGAAACTTTCCCAGAGACATCGGATGCTGTGCCAGAGTAGGAGAGAAATGGGAAAAATAAATATTTTTTAGACTTGGTGTTGCTTTTGTTTACATTCCACATTGTATCTCAGCAAAATAAAATGTCATTAATTTAATGCCTATATTGCAGGCTTGTCGGGGCCCACAGCAAGATGAGGGGGTTCAGGCAGATTCTGAGCAAGATAACAGCAAACTGAACTCGGGCATCCTTCCCAGAAACAGGATTCCAGTGGAGGCGGACTTCCTTTTTGTCTACTCCACCGTACCAGGTAGACTCATCTCATATGAAAAATTACTTCGAGGAATTTCAGGTTTAATTAGATTTTTTTTGGGGAGGCCAATCTGGTCCAAATTAACTATTTCCATTATATGAGGTGGTATCAGAGTTTTGAGACTAGTTTTGTAACACGCCAACAGATGGGAGCACAAGGCTGCACGCACAGTCAAGAGGGCACCAACCTTCATAAATCAGTGTGTCAGAAGACATTGTCCTGTGTACATTGGGAGCTGTGCAACTGGTGCTATTCTGACAATGTGTGTTACCACGTCTGCTATTTCATCATGGAAAGCAAATAAGAACAAAGAGCAGATGTTAAATTATGCATGCTCTCTGTACACCCAAGTTTCGTAATGATTCTCGACGTGAAGCATGGGTCATTTGTGGCATGGCGACAGAGTTCTTGGCAGACCTCATCCCGGTGTTCCTTCTGCTCCTGGGTCAGTAGTCTGGGGATGAACTTGGCAGTAACATGGCACATGTTCAAATGACACATGAGGATTGCTTGAACTGTCCTGTATGACACACCGACAATGGCAGCAATATTGTGGATTGTTCTCTGATGCACAAGCTGCCAAATGGTTCAAACATTTTTGGGGGTTGAGCTTGTTGAAGGTCTGCCTGTTCTCTCGTCGTCTTCCAGTGATGTTCTCCCGCTCTTGAAGTGCGTGTGCCAATCAAAACACCTCGAACGACTCATTGCAGCATTGCCGTAAATTTACCCAATTATGTCAAACTTTTCAATAAAAGAGAACACAGCGCTAAGGGCAACAAATTACACTGTTCAACAAATTTTTATTTTTTGCCAGTTTTGGAAACAAAAGGATCCATTTCTTAATGAATTTCACATTCTGAGTTCAAATATAACAATGAAATTTGTCAATTGGCTCTAGTTTTTCTGTAAACGGAAAGTTTTCTACTATAGGCGTAATGACTACATAATGCACAATAATTATAGATAGATGTCTTTCCACAAATATAAAGCAAGTGATATTGACTACATAACAAAGCCTAAATGGCATAATATATTGCATAGGATTACCAAGAAAAATTATAGCCATAAGCTAAGTTGAATCATTTTAATACTTAGGATTCTCACTAGTTTTGTCTTCAGTTTGTGTCGGTTTTGCTTCTCTTGGCTTTTCTCTTGTATTCGAGGAAAGGGCTATCTCTTACAACTGCACGTGACTACACGCTTCAGGTTCTTCCTCACTTGACTCAACCACGAAGGATTCTGGTGCTTTAGGAATTGGTAGCCCCTCTCCATGAGGAACTGGACGTATTGCCGATGGAATATTTGGATAGTGCACAGATAACTTTTTCTTCTTATTTAGCCCTTTTACAATTGGAGGCACCATACAAAAGTAACAATTACTAACATGATCTGTTGGCTCTCTCCAAATCATTGGCACAGCGAAAGGCATAGATGGCATTTTCCATTCAACCATTGCTCCAGTGCCGTCCCACAAGAATTGCAGCATATATGTGGTGCCCAGCTCTTGTCCTGGTCTCCTATCTTGCAGCCAAAATACAAGTTGTAGGCTTTCTTAATCATTCCTGTTATCCTCCTTTTTTGTGAGATAAAAGTTATTTCACCGCAGATATAGCAGAAATTATCTGCTTTATTCACACAAGTTCGAGGCATTACTGAGTAGCCTATATAAGCATAAAACGAAATGTAAAGACGCTGTCCAAACTCCAATCAGCTACAGATACTGCAGCTTTTATGCAGTGAAGTGATGCAATTAAAGGCTAATATTGCATCATCTCAGTATACATGACATTTTCTATTGGTCACCAGTATCAATTGTGCAATATGCAGCTGAAGTTGCATCATAATTTTGAATGGCTTACGTCATTAGATGGGTGAATATATCATGGAAACTAGAGCCAATCAACATTTTTTAGGGTCATTTTCGTTTTCAGCACCCCAAAATTATGTAAGATTAGCTAATTTTATGCCCAAAACTTTTTACCTGTTGAACAGTGTTACCTGAAACATACATAA